GTTCCCTGTAAGCTGTGCACTTGTGCGTCTGCTCACGAGAAATTCAGATGCTGCCCAGCTGACTAGCAGAGAGCTCACAAATAGGTTTTGTATTTGTATTGGAGGTGCACGTTTGCACATGCCTCAGTGTACATAAAAACATGTATTCTGCACATGGATGGAAAAGTTAGAGGGAACATTAGCAGGAAGCCACCTCATGTTCCCATGATTATCTGTTTGTCTCAAATAGAAAAAATAAAGCCAGCATACATTATAAGCTGCCAGTTGAATGGCAGATTCTTTTGACCCGGTATCTCTGGCATGACTAGGGAGTTCTGTAAGCAGTAGCAAGAGTCTATTTGCTGCACTTATAGAGAACTTTACATGGTTCTGTGTGTGTGTTGACCCTGTTCTTAGTATACAACATTTGAAAACAAACTCTCTTTCACCATGGATGTCTGACTGTGCTTTTTACTGTCCGTATCAGAACTTCTATGTGAAACTGACTAATCTAATTTTGCCATCCATTCTGATACAGTTTTTAAAAGCCTCTATATCTGGAATTAACTTCTGTTAGAAATTAGTTCTTTACTTCATTTTCAGTGTTTCTCCATGTCCTTTACCCAAAATAAAAATAAACACTAACCATGTTGAATCTGTGCACCCTCAGTGTGCATATGCATAAGTTAGTCATAGGCGTGTGCAAAACTGCACACGCCCAACTTTGTAAGTCTAGCCCTGCATCTCTGTCTGATGGTCTAACAGGATTTCTGTCTACCTTTTGGGTACTACAGAGAGCTGGTGTTACACTTTGGAAACTACCCAGACCTGTAAAGGATTCTGTCACCACCTTGGTATTTGGAGGGCCTTTTTACTGTGTGGTTATGGTTCAGATCCCTTACACCAGTAGCAGCCCACAAGTATAAGGTGTTCCCCGGCTCTCACTAACCTACTTAGGCTTTTGCAAAGTGACTCCAACCCGTGTAGTCTTAGTATCCACCCGGGTACGTTCTCCCAGGCACTTAGATTATCCCCTGCCGGTTTGACGCCAGCCCCCTATTCACCATGCTGTGTGCACACATCACACAGATTGCCCAACAGAGAACTGTTTGGAACAAAAATGAACAGAATTTTATTTAATAGAAAATCCACAGATTCAAAGATGAAATAGAGAAGGAAAGAAAACATCATGCTTGTGTGTGTGTCAAAAGACATAACCTCAGGCTTTACGCTTCTGTATCAGATAAATTCCTCATTTCTAATACAGTTTACCCATTGCCTTAATATAGTTTTTCCCAGCCTACCTCCTAGCTATTAGAGGGATCTAGTATTCACAGCCTTGAGACTATCTCCATCTTCTCCTCCCTCCCTCCCCCCCGCCCCCAAAAAACCCCTTCCTCATCAGTTCCAGGTCTGCTTTTAAAAGTTTTTTTTCTCTCTTTATTCTCAATCCATGATGTTTCATGGTTAATCAGTTACAAAAATTCCTTCTGGTTTGACGTTGGGGCACTGTTATGGTCTTTTCAACTTTGAGTTATTTCAGACACTTTCCATTACTATAATAGTTCACTGTTGACCTTTCCTGAGCTAGCCAATGGAGAGTTTCTTGAAGCCTGAAGCTGATTTCATGTAAATATCTGTTTTGAGAGGTGCCCCCCATGCCTGACTCTTCATCAGAAGGAAGTTATTTACCAGTGTTGATGAGGCCAATTAAGTCAGAGTGGATGTGGCTTACTCATAACTTTTTAATGAGGAGGTGTAAATACCAAGAGAAGGGAAATAACCAATTTAAATCCTTATTCAGTCCTAATTTGATTGGATTGGATATGCAAATGAATTGCAGTTATGCTGTTTCCTTTTGTAATATGGTGGGGGGGGGGGGGGGGGGGGGGGAAGGGGTACATCAACACAACTGAAATTTGGAGAAAACTGAATTTTTGTTTTAAGTTTTATGGCGATTTATTATTTTTATATTTTTTACACCCAAAAATGTCATTACCTGCCTGGCTACAATTAAGCTGTTTAAACAAATATGGTGCAATAGTAGGGGGGAAAAATTGTGTGTCTGAAAATTGTAGGTACTGGGGGTACTTATAATTTTTTTAAGGGGTACTTTATAAAAAAAAAAGGTTGAGAAACACTGGTTTAGAACATAAGATTTCATAAAGCCCTTACTCAACATATTTTATAGTACAGTAATATTTATATGCAGTCAGTTGAGTTAACTGTTTATTTTGGAGGGTTCAAACCTTCTGTCCTCCCCTTGGGGTGCATATACCTAGATTGTTTCCTCTGGGGTTATTAGACATATTTAAGGAATCCCATGTTCATATCTTTCAGTGTTTTGAAATCAGCTGTTGTTCTTAATCAGATAAGGCTTTAATTCTTTTAAATTATTTTAGTATCTGTTGCCATTTCATTTGTGTTTTCTGTCTACAAAATAGCCCTGTTAAAGTTTAATGTGTTTGTCACATTTTTTTTAATGTATCTACTCCAGTTGGTCAATATCACCTAGGATTAAAACCACAATTTCTTATCCCAAATATTAGTGCTTTTTATCTCTGGGGTTCTGGCTTCATAGATGTTTGCTAAAAACAGGGGTAAAAGTTTAGGAAAATGCCATGTTATGGTGGTGGTTGGCTGAATTGAAATAATACAGGTATTACCCTTTTGAGACTTGTAAAAACTGGTTTTTGTAATTGGAGGCAGTTAGCCTATCAATCATGAATAGCTAAACTTGACTAGATATTAGTTGTAAAAGATTTGCTTTATATATCAATTCAACTTCTATAGTATTATACCATGTAGTATACTTGGGAACACTTGGGTTTTTTTCCCTACCTTTATATAAATTATTGTAGTTAAACTTGTGATAGTGAGCAACATTCAATAGACCCATCATATGAAGCTATTCTTCCCTTCTACTAAGCAATGATGAGCCAAATTGTGTGCTAGTCACTGTAGAAAGTTATTTACTGGCTAAGGTTTCACTGTTAGAAATGTCACTAATATGCCTTTATTAATTGACCACATTTTGGGTTATGGAAATTATACATGTAAATGTTTAGGTTTAGTTAGACTTCTGTGCAATTTATTAATTCCATGTTCCAGGGTTGTACCAGTTGATTTTTTTCCAGTGTGCATATTAGCAGGAAGATTATTGGATGTGATATTGTTGTTAATGTTGTATTTATGAAAATGTGTGTAGTTCTTAATATATTCATCTTTCTTATTTTCTTTCTCTAACAGCCTGATATGCTAAGGTCACTAGCTAACACAAAACCAACAGTAAATGAACAGGATCTGGAAAAATTGAAGAAATTTACAGAAGACTTTGGTCAGGAAGGCTAAACCAAAGAAAGTTGTAGAACTCGACCTAATGTTTTCTCCTCTTTGCCTCTTTATTAATGGCATTTCAAATAATTGCCAATGAAAAAAATCACTTCCTTCTTACTTTGCACATGGAATAGAAGATATCTTTGCAAAGTCCCTTTGAGCTTTTGTATTGTATTGTTTTCCTCAAATGTCTGTTGAATGTCTTCTACAGAAAGTAATACAAAGAGCATAATTTTAGGATCATATGGCAAAACAAAAGTGATGTGATAAATTGTATTTAAATATTAGGAATCTCTTAAAAGATAAGTTGTTTTACTTAATGTTAAATTTTAGATAATATCTGGTATGCCTGGCTATAAATTATTTATAAACTCCCATCGGGCCCAGCAACAGATGACCTTTTTTGGGGTGGGAGAGGACAGTGTGTAACTGCATCAAGTGTTCTGAATGTCAGTCAATTAGCCTGTACATCAATTGCTTTATTTTCAGCTAGAAAAATGACAACATTTGCTAGTAAATCAGATATTGCAAATGTAGGTGTCCTGTAAAATAAGTACGCAAAGAACACTGTGATGGGGGCAAGTATTTTGAACATATATAATGGTCAGTACTTACGATAAATACTGATCTTGAACTGGTATTTGGTTCTTTTTCTGCCATGCTGTGTTGAATTGTTGCCTTAAAAATAGCAAACTTTTTTTGTTTTTTAATTCTACTTGCTGAGACACCTGTCACTGTGCAATCTAGCGAAGACTCACAAAATTTAAGTATCTTGGAAGAAAGTTCTACAGATTTTTTTTTTCCAGCCAGTTACTTTCACCAGAAGTTTTAACCAAACATACCAAATATTTTAGAGTACTTGCATAAGATTACATAATTGAAGTCCTGCAAGGTATAACCAGTTTTTGAATGTTGTAAGAGAGGTACTTCTGCAACTAACTAGCGAACTTATTTTTGGAACTTGGGAAATTTAGGGAGGAAGTAGTAAAAGGCTACAGCTTTGAGATGATGGGTTAAATTGTCCTTAAGTACCTCTTCAAGTACAGTGCTGAAACTTCTTCTCTAAAAAAAAAAATAGAAAAGTAGAATCGTGTTATTTCCAGTGACATTTTCTAATGGAGTATCGATTCTCAGATGTGCCTGAATGTAACTTACAACACTATAGTGTCAGCATTGTTTGTGCCTTGTAAGTTTGCACTGTAGATATGAAAGGTCATTGAGGTATTTAGAATGCAGTACATTCCATTATTACTGTAAAATTCTATCCCTACATATGCTTTGTTTAAACTAACTTGCATTACAAAAATTTGCACATTTCGTAGATATACTATATGGTCACCTTTTGATGGGTTCGGTTTTCTTTTTTGTACATATTTTGTGTAATGTACAAATCAGGAGTGGTGAAATTTGCTGTACTTAAATGAAGTAAAATGTCATAGTTCAACAGCTATGTTTCGTTTTTTCCTTCAATATTTTCAAGGGGGCCCTGGACAAACTTTCTAATGCAGTTCATAGATATAGTTTGCACTATTACACAGAAGCAATCTTTAGCTATTTCTTATAATCCACATGTTGCTAAAACTTCATTTCCTCTCCAATAACCTTTCACTGTCTGTATACACCCAATTTCTTTGTCATTCATGTCAATGAAATAATTGTGCCTTTCTCATGTTGCAGTCTGTGTGCATAATTCTAAATATTTACAACCCTGACAAAATTCAAACTAGAGTAGAGACTAAGTTTAGTGCAGTCTTGCAATTCTCAGAGATATATCCTGGAAATGCAGGCTTGTATTATGCATTTTAGTTGTGGGAAGTATTCTGTGTTCAATATTTTCACTATATAGGTTTAACAGTTTGCATTTCTTATTTGTAATGAGGTCCACAAATCTATGACATGGGATATGCTCTATGCAACCTTGGAAATTCACCAGATTTGTCAATCAGAGATAATGAAAGTACGGCTCCATCTCTGAGAAACTACCTGATTTCATCCACTTCTCCAGCTGCAGCCAGACAAACCAGTTCCCCCTTGATTTCTCCCAGTTTCTCCCTTTTTTTTATCTCCAGGTCTGTCATGAAAAATTCCCTATACCTGGCACAACTGACAACAATACTCCTGGGACTAGCAAGGGATCCCACTAGGGATGTAATAGTGTAGTCAGTTAAATTTTCACTTATCAATTAATTATTTATTAGTTAATGCTATAACCACATTCTTTCTTCCCCCACCCACTTCTCCCCCCAGCTCTGCCAGTAAATTTTTTAGAGGGCTGGCCAGCAGCCTGGTCCGGGTTCTGGGAGCTACCCTGCTGCAGTAATTTAGGAGCTATCCCTGCTATGGCTCTGCAATAATACTTTCCCTGCAAAGTGGGTAGCTCCCATGACCACGCAAGCTGGGATTGAGCCAGGCTGCCTGCCTGTCAACTCCTAAAATACTCTTAGTGCACAGCCGCAGTGGGGGTAGCTCCTGGGACGGGTGTGAGTCAGGACTGAGCTGCCTGCCCACTGGCGCCTAAATTACTTTTCATGCAGAGCTGGCACAATCTGGGACTGAATGCTTGCAGTGCTAACCCTGATGGATTACTCATAGTTGACAAAATTTGTGTTGACTACACGATGAACAAATTACATGCTTCTTAACATCCCTAGATCCCACCTCCCATTCTCTCCACCACGATGAGGGGGTGGGGGTAGGTTGAATCACTGTATCAAAGGATAAGGGAAGCTTTCTGCTCAGCCCTTAAGAGCTCTTGCCCATATCTGTCTAATCAGAGCAGCTGCCCAGTCCCTTCCCTGCATTACTTCAAGGGCAAAGAGATACTACTGGATATCTACAGATAGCAAAGAGCAGGCCAACCTCTCACTCTATTCTACAGCCCTACAATGTCTTAGAATTTGGTGTCCCAGGGGTGCTGTCAGCCTAGCTCCAGGCCACATTCAGGGACTCCTTTACACAAGGCGTGCCACATTGAGATGCTCTGGGTGGAAACTTTCTAGTGTAAAACCTCTTTTTCTAAGGGCAAGAGTGCTACTCAAAAGGGTCACCACAAGTTCCCTCTTCCCCTCCTTCCAGTGAACCATGTGGAGTGTTTCTCCTGAGGAGGAAAAACCAAGATGAGGCATAAAAAAGAGGTTCCCCAGACATTCAGACCCTGCTAGTCACCCCAAATAAAGCCACCAGTCCCATTCATCTTCTGAAGAATCCTATTCAGGCAATTCCTCTAAGAAGCACAAGGTGCAATCTGTTTCACTAGAACTGCTTAAATCTGCAAAAAGTGGGAGGCAGGTGATTCTCAGCACTCGGTTTTCCCTGTTCATCTTCATGGAGTGTAACAGGGCAGATAATCCTCAATGTACCCTGTGAATGTGTAATACTAGAGTTGGGACGTTGTGCCACACCTAAAGGTTGGGAAAACAGTAGGCTGTATCCTCAGATGCTGCAGCAGGTTATCAAGTGTTAATGCGCTGTCACTCCCAGCTCTCACTGTGGGTCACTTGGCCCTAATGTCCTGGTTATTGCTCTCCACTTCTATTGCAGGTTGCCATGCTTTATTACCACCTCCTTCCCCCAGCAGATAGCTATGGAACAATAAGGGACAGCAGCCAAATGTGGAAGAATTGGCTGGTGCTGATGGACCTCTTTCTACTGTCACGCACTTGCCCATTCTATAAGGCCAGGATGCATTAGTTAAAAATCAGCCAGGTGGCTGCACTAAAGATAAACATGACTTTTTCCCTACTGGTGACCTCTCTATACAGGCCCTTCAGAGGCAACCAACTCCTTTGGGTATGAGAACTATTAGCATCAGACTAACAAGAACAAGTAAGAAAAAACTGACACCAAGTTACCCCCACATGCTTTCACAAGCAATACTAAAATGGGCAGATGTTGCAGGCATTATATTGCTCAACCTATTTAAAAACAAAAAATCACATAGCCTAAGAGCTTCTGCCTGAGGAGGAATAAGGGCATGCAGATAGCCATCCTCCGTCTCCTACAAATGGGAGCAACTGAACCTATCTCACATCTTCTGAAGAAAAACAGGCCTTACTTGATGATATTCCTAGTCCTTCTCTCTACCCAAACAAACACCCCTTCCTCCCCCCCCCCCCCCCAAAAAAAGTCAAGGTTAGAGGAGCATTTCTTGACATCAAATATTTGAACAGATCCATTTAAAAGAAAAATCAGAATTCAAGATGGCCGTCATCAGTGGAAGGGACTGCAGAATATCAGCAACTGTGACCAATGGCAGTCTCCCAGATGCTTCTTAAGCTTTGTTTTTGCAGCAAAACATTGCCAATCCAAGTCCTTGCCCATGAGCTTAGAACAGTACTGCACGTGTTCACAAAAGCGCTGGTAGTGTTAATAACCACTGTCAGAGGGAGTCTGTATGTCTAATCCTTCCTGGACAACTTCCTTATCTAATCCTCATTCAGAGCAAGTCATAGACCACATTATTGAAACAATAAAGATGCTGCAGAATCCACCGTTTTGGGAGAGTCATTTAACAATCTCAGTGTATTCCCAGTCTCTGAGTTGAAATAGTAGTTATCCTCTGCAGTTACTTATTACAAGAAAAACAAAGAATTAGAGAAATCTTATGTGAACTGTCAATTTGTCAGAGAGAGTACTCATTCATGTGTCTCTACTGGAATCCATCATCTTCCATGTGGATATTCTTAGAGGGACATTGCCTGCATAAGCCACTACAAATCTTCTTCTTGACCCTCTCAACTGTCTCACCTTAGGAAGATTCCTTGGTCATTTACCCAGTGTCAGACTAGTCCAAGGAATCTGGTCCAAACAAGCAACTGCTGCATAAACTGTCAAGCGCTCAGGGCAACCCAACAGGGTCTCACGCTCCTGCTCCTCATATCTGGACTTGTAGTCTTCATGATTTACACTTGAAGCATGCCTGTCATGTTATACATGAATGGACAAATGAGACAAGGGCTACAGTCTTATCAGTAGGCAAGCTTCTCTTACAACTTGGACAAAGGAGACTCTGCAGTCAATTTGCTCCCTTTACATCGAAGGCAAAATTGAATGTTACAACTAACTGCCATAACAGACACAAGGGACACCATCCAGAATGGGAAATATGGCTAGAGAGGTTCCATTTCCTGGATGGACAAAAAAATAAGTCTCAGCAATAAATGTTTGCCTGCCACATGAATCACAAGTTTTCAATGTTGCTCACTTGCTGACAAGCTCTCAGAACCCAAGCAAGATTCCTTGCTACAAAGATGGCCACAAGAGATTGTGCCTTCCATTGTCCTCCCCTCACCAAAAGATCAGGAGAGAGGCAGCACTGGCAACTCGGGTATCCCCATTCTGGCGAAGAAGCTCTGGCTGTCTAATCTCCATCACATGGCACAGATATCTTACATCTGCTTTCCATCCAGAAGGAATATGATGGTACAAGAACCAGTCATGTATCAAAATTCAGATCATCTGAGCCTAGCTTCCTGATTCTTGAATAGTCTCTTAAGACAAAGAGGTTTTTCAGAGACTTAATATCTACATTTTAGCTTCTCAGAAATAAATCTACTAAGCATATTCACATGTCTAGTCAAGCTTTAGCTTATTTGTACCAGGGCAGAGATGTCACGTTCCCCTCTCTTCTTACACTGCTGCTCCTTTTCTCCCTCCCACTCCCATGTGCATTGGTATTACTGATTCTCAAATTTCTTCAAATGGACTCAGGTTAGACATGGAAGTTCAGACTCTCAAAGATAATGTCCTTTGTCCTGTATCTTTTTGCAATAGACAAGTAGCAAATTTAGTATTATCCAGATGTTCAGTGTTTTTACTTATGAAAAAGACATTGTTTCTACATCATCCTGACATGCATAAAGTTTCTTTATTGGCCTTACCTAGTTCTTAGTGTCATTAGAGGCCCTCCCTGTTGATCCATTAATGAACATCTTTCTATACTTGCTCAACTTTTTTTAAAATGACAATTATGTCTGTTCACAGGGTGTTTGAATCAGGAGTTCTTTCCCTGGAATCTCAGCACTGTATGTTCCATAAGGCTGACATACTCCGAACCATATCTATTTATACTAAAGAATAACCCCAGGCTCCACAGGACACAGAACATTTGTTTTCTATACTTCTGTCCAGCTCCACACAACTCCAGAGAGAAATTGTGACATATTTTGGATGTCTGCAATGCACTCAAAGTATATAATTAACACAGATCATAAGAACAAATGCTTTGTTTGTGTTTTATTATGCAGTGTCAAAGAGAAAAAAGGTTTTGAAATTCTCCATTTGCTGATAGCTGAGAGAATGCATCTCAAAAGCTTACACATCAAAACGCACAATCTATCTCCCAATATGAGAGCTTGCTCCCCAGAATACGTCAGGTTCACAGGAATCTAGAAGTATAGGACTGGAAGGGGCCTCAAATAGTCTTCTAGTCCTGTCCCCTGCACT